CTTCTTCTTCTTCTTCTTCTTCTCTCTCTCTCTCTCTCTCTCTCTTNTNTNTTTTTTTTCTTTTTCTTTTTTTACTTTATTTAAGCTACGTTCGATACATTCCATTGAGATATCGTTTTTAAGAATATTTTTAGAATGATTTTATTTTGAGTTCACATTGATATTGATATCTAAGAATATAAATTTTTAATACTTTTTTTTTTATTTTAACGAAGCTTTTTTATTTTAATTTTTGCTTCGTCTTTTTTCCTTTTTATGAACTATTACGATTATTTATACGAATTTTATATATTTCATCGTATGAAATTTTATTTACAATTATTAAGAGTCTATTATATCTTCGTCGTACTATTTGTTATTTATTGTATAACGTGATGTTTTTATAGTATTTGTCATATAAATAAATATCGTTGATTTCAATTTGTTTGGTAGAGTCTTTTTATCAAAAATAAAATATTAATTTTTTATCATACGTGTTATCGACGAAGAAATAAAATTATATCGTGTGTAAAAAAAATGATTAACTCATTAAGTCCCTTATTATTATGAAGTGCCATAAAAATGATTTTATAATCTTAAATCTTTAAGAGATATCAATGGCATTTCGATAATCTGTAAACCTACAGATTATCCCTTTTTCCAGGAACGAAACAAATGGATATAAATTACCAGGAATCATACGCACATTAAAAAATATAGAAATATAGAAATTTTCGAAAAATTTCTAACAATGACAGATTTTGACATCAAATATCATAATCATCTCTACTCTAATGTGATTTAATTCAAAATAATAAAAATATCTGTTAAATATATGATAATTTTCTTTATTCTTGAAACATATTTTAAATAATCTCAAATTATAATATTATAATATTTATAATAAAAATGCTATTTTTTTTATAATAAAAAAATTAATAACAAGTATTGTATTTGAATATCAATATTTTTAAAATGTACGTCGAAAAAATAATCAAGCATGCGCTCATCGATCCACAACGGAACCATAGTAACAGCTGAGACACAGAGATCAAAACAATCGAGGAAAGAAGGATATCGGATTTTCTACCAACGATTTGCGTAATTATTTCCTCGTAAAATCGTCAGAAATAATTCAAGGAAAACGGATGTTCATCGTTGAACAATGGATATTAGAGACAGCAGTGATGAGGAAGAGATACGTAATATTTCCTCCTTCACGAAATTTGACGAGAGCATCGATGTACAAAACGCCGAAGAGATACAGAGTCCAGTGATCCGTAGACCTTCCAGTTCGAGAAGATCCAGGCAATATCCGATTAACGAAGCTCGAACTTCCATAGAGATAAATTCACCTCGTGAAAAATATAATTTTCGAAGGTAAATTCAATTTTGAGGAGATAATTGAAGATAAAATTAACAACAAAGAATGATTAATAAATTAATCATAATAAATAATTGAAAATAATGGATAATTTTTTGATTATCAGATATTCTGATAATGATAATAACTTCGGGAAGGTCATGGGAATTCACAGTGATCCGTCAGACAGCGAGGAGAGTGATGATGATGATATCCAGGGAACGATAAACGCTCAACAGATTGAACTTTACAATCCTAAGGATTTCGACGATTTAAAAGTCTCTACAGAGGTGAAAGAATTATTTCAAAACATAATGAGGTACACGTTTTCTTCATCCCCTTATCTTTTGAATATTATTTATTAATATAATTTTTGTAATTTCCTTCATAATTTTATCTATAAAGATACATTAATTGTATCCTTAATTAAAATACACAATTCTTTTTATTTTTAACAATCGTATTTTATAAGTATCTTTATCGTTGCCTCTTTTATTATAGATATACTCCACAAAAGATAGAGTTGAATTACAAACTCATACCATTTATTCCCGATTATATACCAGCCGTGGGTGATATAGACGCTTTTATAAAAATCCCACGACCAGACGGTATAGAGGATAAAATCGGTTTAATCGTTTTGGACGAACCCTGTACCAATCAATCCGATCCAGCTGTTCTTCATCTTCAACTGCGTAGCCATTTACGAAGCGCCGGTATGGCAAGGCAACAGTGATTAAAAGAATCGAAGATGCCGAGAAAAACGGGAAGTCGATCGAGAAGTGGATAGAGGATATAGATCAGCTTCACAGAAGCAAACATCCGCCTGCCGTTCACTTAACCAAGCCTATGCCAGAGATCGACTCGTTACTTCAACAATGGCCATCGGAAGTTGAAGAAAAGCTTAACGAAGCCGAATTGGACTTTACGGAATTGAATTGCGAATTACCAGAACTCGTCGATATTGTTTGCAATCTTCTAGATATACCATCCGAGGAGGATTCGAGATTGGAGTCGTTGCACACACTCTTCATGCTTTATTTGGATGTTCGAAATGCTAGAGCTCAAAAATATTAATTAGAAATAAAAATCATTTTGATCTAAAAGGAAGAATATCAGAAGAAATATTAAAAAATATTAGAAAAATATTAACAACAAGAAATGTTAAAAAATATTTTCAGAAATATGAAAATATTTATTGAAGACAAATGATCTTGCATGTACACTCTTTCTCTTTTCCAGAAAGAAGACTGCAATTAATTACACTTTCTTATTCTTATAGAAGTAAGAAATAATAATTATTCTAAATAGATTGCTTAATAGCGATGTAATCGTTATTTTGATTTTACAAAATAATGTAATAATTATATTAGAAGTGAAGGATATAATGAATATAAAAGATGAGTTTATTTTTTTATAATATAAATATTACAAAAAAAATTACCATCCATTTACCACCCATTATTTTAGATAATATAATCAGAGACTAATAATTCTTGTTAAATGAGACATAACATAAAAAAAAATATTCCAATCAGAATAATATAGATTATATAATATATAAGCAATGTAAATTATATAATATCAAAAGAAAATATTTATAAAATTAATTCATTAAGTGAAAAAGAAATATTTATCGCAATTTTTTCTAAATTTAAAAACAAAAATTTTTAACATCTCATACGGTCTCATTATTATTATCATTTTCTTTATATATTTTTATTACTTGTATGCATAATTATTTTTTTCAATAAAAAATTTTTTAATTTTTTTTAATTTCAACAAAAAAACTTTAATGTATTATACATCATTATTTTATGATATTCTTGACAAGACTCTACAAGTAGCGCTTGCGCATTTAGATTATCAGAATAATCATGATAATATACTCCTGAATTGCTAGTATTGCCCAATCGTTTAATTTTTTATGATTTTTTTTTAAATCATAAAAAATAAAAAGAAAAAGAATTTTTCCATGTATAAAAGGTATATAGTTCTTATTCTTATTATAATATTGATTGATTAAAAGAGAACTTCTATTTAATAATTAAAACAATTTTTGAACAATAAAAATACATCATAAGTTGAGCACCACTTTCATTGAACATGAATCATAGTATTATTAATCACATGATTGTCAATATGTATTTTTCTTTCCTTATGTGAGTTCAATATGTGGTAACATTAAGTCACAACAAAGTAGTAGCTATGCTTGTAATCAATGACTTGATTTTTTTTTCTAATCTTTAAAATATGATCATAGTGGTAATGTTTGAAAAATGATGGATACTCTAACGCATGTAAACGTGTCAATAAACAACAGCATCGATGACAGTGTTGATAATTGTGAAAATGATTGTGAAAATGATAGAGAAAAATTATTAAAACCAAGAAATAATTTCGCATCATACTCGAATGAAAATATTAATATTAGATTTCGGGTAGGAAAGATGTAATAATTTAATGATAATTTATATATTATATCTTTAAAATTTTTTCCTTATTGTTTTTTTTTCTTTTTTTTTTCTTTTTTTTTTTATAATAAGATAACCTAATTAATACCTGTCTAATTTGTTCTTTATCTTTTATAATATTGATAAGAAAAAATCCTTTTATATAAAAATAAAATATTATATTAATTTACAATAATTGTAATCATCTTTAATATTTTATTTCTTCATTTGTAATAAAATGTTATCTATAGGGTAATGTGTCATCACAAAGTATTGTGGAAACACTTTCTAATAATTTGAGAAGACTTAATACCGAAGAAATACTTCCTGGTGCTACCAATTTCTTATCAAGTAATTATGAGGTATATTGTTTTTCTTATAACTATATTTTATTTATCTTATAATGTTCTTATTGATATATAATTATATTTATCTTTATATTTGAAAAACTTTCTATATTAATCATTGTGAATATCTTATCTTAAAACTAATTATGCATTAAAGAAGCATTATGTGTATCAAAATATATCATTATATTTTTACTTATTTTTTTAGAGTTTAGATTATGATCCCTGTGAGAATCATCTTCTTCAAGATGAAGAAAGAAAAAAAGGTTACAAGTTTGTAGTTAAAAAGAATTTTGCTAGATGGTTTATTTTTTTATTAATAGGTATTTGTACAGCGCTTATAGCTAGTCTTGTAAATATTTCTATAGAAGAATTAACAAAGCTAAAGTATGGTTGTTTGAAATTTTGTATCCTTTACTTCTATTATAAACAAATAACAAATGAAAGAAAAAAAAATATAATTTCAATGCTCCTTACAGTGAATGATAGATATGGATCAATGTGTAGCAAGAAATTGTTTATGGTTACCATATTTATTGTGGTTAGCTCTAAATTTTGCACCTGTTTTAATAGGTGCAATTTTAGTATCTTATGTGGAACCTGTTGCAGCAGGTAGTGGTATTCCTCAGGTGAAATGCTATTTAAATGGAATTAAAATACCTCGAGTTGTTCGTATTAAAACATTAGCAGTAAAAACTATAGGAGTAATTTGTACAGTAGTGGGAGGTTTAGCTGGTGGAAAAGTAAATATGTTTCATTATTATTTTTATATCATTTTTTATTTTTCTTTTAAATAAAAAAAAATAATATAAGATAAAATATCATTTTAGGAAGGACCTATGATACATTCTGGAGCTGTAATAGCAGCAGGAATATCACAAGGAAAAAGTACTACATTTAATAAAGATTTAAAGATATTTAAATATTTCAGAGAAGATCATGAAAAACGAGATTTTGTATCTGGAGGTGCAGCTTCTGGTGTATCTGCCGCATTTGGTGCACCAATTGGTAAGTGCTGATATGGTATGTAGATATGTAGTATAAATATTAATTATTTGATAAATAATTATTTAGGAGGAGTATTATTTAGTATCGAAGAAGGAACTAGCTTTTTTAATCAGAGTCTCACTTGGAGAACATTTTTTGCTAGTATGATCACAACATTTACATTAAACGTTATTCTTAGCACATATCACAGACGACCCGGTGACCTTTCTTATCCAGGCTTACTAAATCTTGGAAAATTTGAGACAATACCCTATCAGATTTACGAAATTCCGCTATTCATGTTAATGGGAACAATTGGTGGACTTTTGGGTGCTTGTTGGAATCATTTAAATTATAAAATTACCTGTTTCCGTTTGAAATACATAAAAAAAAAATGGTTGAAAGTAATAGAAGCTCTCATAGTTGCTGCATTAAGTGCAACGATGGGATTTACCATGATTTATTGTTTGAAAGATTGTAAACCATTGGGACAGGATCCCACTAAATTTCCCATTCAAATGTATTGCAATGATGGAGAATATAGTGCTGTTGCAGCTTTGTGGTTTCAGACACCAGAAAGTAGTGTACGGTCTTTATTTCATGATCCTAAAGGTATGTTAATAATATAAAAAAAATATAGAATATATTCATTAAATTTTTTGTTTATAGGTTCTCACAATGATATCACTTTAGCTATTTTTGTTATTCTCTATTTTCTTCTGGCTGTTGCTACTTTTGGTTTGTCCATGTCTAGTGGTTTGTTCATTCCATCCCTATTAATTGGTGCTGCTTGGGGTAGATTAATTGGATCAGGACTTTCAAGACTTTTTCCAAATTGCGTATGAAACAATGATAAAAATAAAATTAAATATTGTAGAAAAAAATAGCAATTATAGTTAATTATTGCAGGTTGTTTTAAATCCTGGAAAATATGCTTTATTAGGTGCAGCTGCTCAATTAGGAGGAGTAGTTAGAATGACGATAAGTTTAACTGCGATATTAATAGAAGCTACTCAAGGAATATCTTTTGGCTTGCCACTTATAATAGTTCTTATAATGGCTAAATGGGTTGGGGACTTCTTCAATGAGGTATGAAAACACCAATCTAACATATAATTTAAGATATATATATTTATATATGTATATCTTATTTTATAGGGAATTTATGATATTCATACACAAATGGCTGGAATTCCTATATTACCATGGGAAGCCCCGCCATTATCAAATAATATTTACGCTAGTGAAATAATGAGTCATCCAATAGTAACATTAAAAACAGTAGAAAATGTAGGACATATAATAGAACTTCTGAAATGTGTAACATTTAATGGATTTCCCGTGGTTGATCCTCCTAGTAGTGATGAAGTAATGAATTAATTATTGTTATATAAATTTATTGTTATTCAAAAGATATGTTATTCTCTTATATTTATGCTATTTTTTTCATTCTAGATTGAAATACATTCATACGGACGATTTCGAGGACTAATCTTACGCTCTCAATTAATAGTATTATTGCAAAACAAAATTTTTAATAAAAACTTAGATTATTGGGACAGATCATTAAGTATTAAAATATTCAGAAAAGAATATCCTAGATATCCAACAATCGATCAAGTAACTGTAACTGAAGAAGAAAAAACTTATATGATAGATTTAAGGCCTTTCATGAATCCTTCTCCTTATACAGTACAACATGTTAGTATTTTTTTTATTAATTTTTTTTTTTCACACATTATTAAATGAAAAAAAATTTTTTTTTTTTAGTCTGCAACACTGCCACGAACATTTAGACTTTTTAGAGCTCTAGGTCTTCGACATTTGCCAGTAGTCAATGATACAAATGAGGTATTAACAAATTGACGCATTTTTTAAAATGTTATTACATAAAAAAAATATAATTTCAAATTTTTCTTTTTAGGTAATTGGGATTATTACAAGAAAAGATGTTGCCAGATTTAGGATATGGAAACATAGAGGAAACATGGGATTAGATGAACTTTTAATTACTGATAAAATTTAATTTTAATTTTTTTAGATACAAAATTTAATTTATGAAAAAAAAGCTTATAATGTATTATATGTATAAATATTGTTTTCTTATATATATAAGAAAAAAGATTTTTATATTCTTCAGCAAAGAAGAAAGAGACAAAAAAAGACAAAATCAATTATATATTAATTATTCACAAATAATTGCCAGCCTAACCATGACCATAATTTAAAAAATAAAAATACTGGCAGAATTATTAGCAATAAAAGAAAATAATACTCATATGATGGAATATACATTGGAAACAATAGCCTTTTAATTATATCTCTAGAGATTATAATTCACACGTTATAGAATAATTAAAGTCTTTTTACATAACCTGCAACAAGAAAAAATATTTTATAGAAATAAAGCATTTATTTATATTTTATTTAATTTTCTATGTTTTTATATTAATTTTTAAAATAATTAATTACAATCTAAAAATTATATAAAATTAATTCATATACTATAAAATATAAAAAAATAAAACATTTTAAATATATTTTTAAATAAGAAAAAAAAATATATTTAAAAAATAGTTTATTTATCTTTAATTTAACTAATCATATTTTTTTAGATTTTAAGATAAACATATGCATTAATATATAAATATGTGTAAACATTTTGATACAATTTCCCAATTCCACAAGCTATTCTTAATTTAATAATAGTTATATTGTATATATTAAGAAATTACAAAAGATTAATAAATACTTATAAAATTTAAAAATATAAAAATTAATAATAATTAATTACAAGCTCTTATTTTGAGAATGATTCACTTTAAGAGAAAAAATAATACATAAGACAGAATGATACTATCTCTTTCTAATCTTCAATAAATCTGAGCATCATAATTTTTCTGTAAAACTATATTGGTAAAAAGATTGGTGAAATTTTACGTACAGTTATAACTTTTCTTCTCTTTATATTCATAATAATTAAAAAAATATTTAAAACTGCCAATCCAATAAAAGAAATTGAAATTGAATGCAAATGTTAACAGAGAATAATAAATATTTATAATTAAAATATATATGATTAAAAAAGTTTAATAATACTGTTTACGTCAGTTCGCCATTTCAATGATTGGATTCTAAATCATATATATTTTGCGCATGCGTGAATATCGATAACAAAAAAGAGGTAAATTTAAATAATTTTGAGAATGATTTTTTTTTTTAATATAATATAATCTAAATAATAAAAAATATTGCAATTAAAAAAGGGTCATAATACAAAATGAACAACTATAAACAAAATAGAGATAAGAAAACTTCGAAAATAAATAAACAGAATTTAATAAAAAAAGAGGAAAAAATATAAATATATAAAAAATATAAATCTTTAATAAAACTAAAAGAGATAGAAAAAAATATAATAAATCATGATACGAAAAAAATGATAAGATTCAAAGCAAAGAAGAAGAGAAAGTGAGGACACTTAACATAGAATTAAATAAAAAAAATATTATATTTAAATCTATTAACTCCATTGTCTTCATAGTAAAAATTAAACAATTTCAAATGCATATTCCTATACAAAATTCATCAATTGTTACATACTTTGTTACACAAAGTAAATATTCTCAATTATTGTCAATTGTTGAGGAATTAGGAAAGAATATTAAATTAATATATACAGGTAGTAGAATTTCAAGAGAAAAATTAAAAAAGGTATTATAAAAGTTATAATGTTAATAAAAGAATACTTAATGGAAACAGGAATGAATTCATAATAGTAATTAACATAAATATAGTATTTTTATTATAAATAAATATAATTTATTTATCTGATTCTATTAAAATATATATTTTGTAAAATATTTTATTTTATATAGATAAATATAAATTATAAAAAGATATCATCTACTTGAATAATTACATCAGTTGTAAATATTGTGTTTATAGACTTTTCTTCCATTTACAAATAATAATACATAAAAAGAATTAAATTCATTCCTGAATAGTATATAAGTGCTATAAAATATACAAACATTAGTAACCAAAAAAATTCATTGATGTAGTAATAATTTTCCATATAAGTGATAAATGTAATAAATATGATAAATATTATAAATAGAAAAATAAAATTTAATTTGTAATAATAATGTAATGTAATAATTTCGGTATAAAAAAATCGCGTTATTTAAATAATTTATCTAAATTCAGATATTCATATTACCAAAATATCAAAATAATAAAATTTAAAAATATTACGAATTTTAAATATTAATTTTTTCATAAGAATATTATTATGGATTATCATTGAATATTTTAAATTCTTTCATATGAAAGTTTATTAAAAACGTATCTTCCTGACGAGCTCATTGTAAGTCTCACCTTCTCGTCTGAAAGAACCGAAGAAAGCTTGTCAAAATTTTCTCATTTCTTGAAGAAACCGGTCTTTCAATGCGTCAAGAAAAATTACCGTGAGTTGAATATTTTGCAAAAAACAATCATATTATTGATGAAAAAAAAGAATAATAACACCATCAACAGACACGATAAGAAGTCGAACATTCCAAGCATCTTTGTGATTCTCTGACAATGCCGTGTATTTTAAGACGCGGTCGGTTTGGTCAATTGTTTTGCGGTCTCTCAGGTCGTACACCTGTCCGTCGTGAAGTTGCAGACGGGAGTAGGAAGGGGTTATGGTCAATAAACGCAACCACGTCACACGCAGCCTATCGGCGACCCCGCTTGGCCCCTTAAAGTGGCTCCGAACGAAAATCTTACATGTCGGCCGATATTGCTTTTGTGCGTTTGTCTGCGGTATATCTTAAGAAAAATCGAAGTAATTTTTTCATGAACAATAACGACGGATGTATTTTATCGCGAAGAAGATGCGATTATAAAATGGAATCAATCCACGACGCGGTTTAGCTTTACAACGGATTAATCGTGCGTTTCAGTGAACTGACCGAATTGCATTCGCCATTGTTGTGATTGGTGAACGTTCCAGAGAAGACGGCGTTCTTAGATTGACGCGCATGCGCATTACATTCTACTTGACGACGCTCTTCTTTCGAATTTTGGGAGACACGCACACAAAGCAACAAGGCACAGGTAGTCGACAGGACACGCACACTTACATACACGTATTTCGAAAACAGTATTAGCCATTCGATTTTTGCGCACGTGCTATGAAATTTTTTTAAGCTTGGTACCCGCGTCTTTTTGGACATCGGAAATCGAATTAATATTCATATTTATCGCTTTTTATAGTGAAGAAAGTTATCATGGTATTTCTTAAGAGAGATCGTCAGATTAATAGTCTTTTATTACTGATACAAATAAATTTTTAAACGTTATTATTATTTATTTTAATTAGAATTTTCATTCGCTAAATGCGATATTCTAAAATTTAATCATATTTAAACAACAAATGATAAAAATGTTTATTATATTTTAAAATATGTAAATGAACTATTTTTATCTTTAAAAATTTTTAGTGAAAATCTTTAATGAGAATTCTAACTAATTTTTTTATTGCAGGTAATTTTTAAAGTGAAGAAATGATAGAAAAGTACTTTATATATGAAATGATATGTGAGAAAAATTAATAAGTATCAAGAAAGAAAACAAAGTTACGCTTAATCTTTAACGCATGCACAAAGTATATTTTCTAAGAAGTTTGATATATAAAATATATAAAAATGACAGTCTACATAGATGATTATACCTATACTGTGCGTAATTGCATGTTATGCCTAAGGCTAAAAAAAAATCTTACCTTAAAAAGGTAAGAGAAATGCGAGAATATAGAAGACAAAAATTAAAATCAGAAACATTAGAAGAGCGTACTATTAGATTATTTTCTGCTGCTGAAAGAATGAAGAACGCTAGAGCAAAAGAAACAGAAGAGCAGGCAGCAATAAGAAGAATGCAGGAAGCCCAGCGTATGGCTAGACATCGTGCTAAAAAGAAGCGTTGTTTAGATGAAAATTTAGCAAGAGAAATTTCAAAAATTGCTGAATTGTCTAAAATGCCAGATGCAGCAACGATAGCTCAAATGTCAGAAATGAATATGAATAAAATTTCCGCAGAATTGAAACAAATGATGGAAAGAGGGAAAGTACCAGAACATATAGTTCAAATGGCTCAACTTGCTGAGTTTAGTAAGATGACTGAATTAAACAAAATGTCTCAAGATATGGCTAAAAGATATGAAATGGAAAAAATGGCAGAATATGCTAAAACAACAGAATATATGAAAATGCAAGAAATTGCAAAAATGTCTGAAATTGCCAAAATGAATGAAATGGTAAAACTCTCAGAAATGGCTAAATACAACGATATCACGAAAATTAATGAAATTGCAAAGATGAATGAAATGATGAAAATGTCCCAAATGGCAAAAATTAACGAAGTTCAAAGAATGAACGAAATAGCAAAACTTAATGAGATGGTAAAAATGACAGAAATGGCTAAATATAATAATGACATAACAAAATTAAATGAAATTGCACAGATTAATGAAATGGCTAAAGAAATTGCCAAAATAAATGAAAAAACGAAAATGAATGAAATGATTAAAATGGCAAATATGCAGAATGATATTACAAAAATGCCTGAATATTCAAAAATGGCAGAAATGGCAAAATTAACTGAATTGGCTAAATTAAATGAAATAACAATAACAAAATTAAATGATCCACCACCACCACCAAAGGTACCACCACCAGAAATTCCTCGAATCCCTGAACCTGTGATTACTGTGCCAAATCCAAGAAATTTGCAAAATGTTCAAACTGTTCAAGTAGCACAGGCTAGCCCATCCAGTACAATAAACTTTCCCACTGTGCCTGGTCAAGGTAAATATGCTCAGTTACTAGTTATCATTGAGGAGCTTGGAAGAGACATTCGCCTTTCTTATGCTGGAAGTCGCAGTGCAGCTGAACGATTAAAAATGGGTATTCAACATGCAAGAATTCTTGTAAGGGAATGTCTATTGGAAACAGAACATAATGCACGGCAATGATCTGCCGATATACTTAGCAATTAGATTTTTAGTCGATTATTTTACAAAGTAATACTATGTACATTGTATGAAGTATAGCAGTATATTTTAAAGGGAGTGTCTTAGCATCCACAAGAATGTGCATATGTAACATTTATTATTTCATATTTTATACGATCTTACTAGTTTGTATGTTTAATATAAAAAAGTGTGAGCAGCTAGTCCTTTTAGACAATGGAAAAAATGAGAAAGTAATAGCTGTAAAACTTAATAATAGTTTCAATAACTAATAAAATGACTTGAAATATGCACTTTTGTGGATGCCTAAAGAAAATTAATCAATCAATAGCGCATAATATTGAATATAAATTAAATCAGAGAAAAATGATTCATTTTTCATTTTAGTTTTTTATTTTTATTAAAAAAAAAATGTAAAGATGACCATTTTCTATGGAAACATTATGAAGGAATTGTACCTTCTTATTAAGTTTTTAATTAACAAATAGAAAATATAATATTAGGCAGAGATGAATTTGTACACTAAAAAGCCTTTATTTATATTTTCTATAAAAAATTAATTGCATTTTTTGGTTAAAACTATAGGTACCTAGTAATTATATCTACAGTATACTTGCAGAAAAAGAAATTGATCAAACAAAATGTACCTATGGAAAATATAATCCTTAAATATTACTGACTACAAAGTATGACTAAATAAAAAAAAGAAACAGTTTTATACGATATTGTGTATTGATTTTATACCCTTAAATCAAATACTATATTTGTATGTATTATTTTAAATTTGGCGCCAATATAATTCCTAACCTTCTCAGTCAAGCGCTGTTTAAATTTCGAAGACATGCATATTAGTATATGGATAAAACGTGTAGAGAAGTAAATGTTAATAATTTTAAGAATTTGTAAAATATTACGCTTAATTTTTATTTCTACTTATTTATTTATTGCATAAAATTTTGCTAGTATATTTATTAAGGTAAGTTTTCTATATAAAGATATATGTAATTATGTATTAATTTAAGGTTATATCAGTGCTTTTTTTTAATGATCTTATTAGAATCTTTTTGCAAGGTATTCAGCTTTAAAAATTATGGTTTTTTTAATGAAGTTTCTAATCGAAAATTTACATTCGAGATACAAGTACTGTATTGAAATAATTTGTAACTATCATCTCATGACAATCATCTCTTCATAAATTATTGTTAGGACATTTATTAAAAAAAAAACAGTTAGAAGATGGAAGAAGAACGAGGAAATATAGAAGTTTCAACAAAGGTTACAGAGCCATTACTAAGTGTACCAAACCCAAGAGCCCTTCAACAAACTGTTCCTATACCTGGTCAATCAAAGTATATACAACTACTTAATGTCATAGAAGAACTTGGTCATGAAGTTCGACCTACCTATGCTGGCAGTCGTACTTCTATTGAAAAAATTAAGCGTGGTATTGTACATGCACGTATTTTAGTTAGAGAATGTTTAATTGAAACAGAAAAAAGTGCTCGTCAATAAGATAAAAATTCTATATATAATAATTTGTAACTGACCAAATTTTGTAGAGGTATTTAACTATAACATAAAAAGACTTATATTTTTTGCTGCAAATAGTATTGCATTTACATATTAAAGAATGAAAGAATCAGAATAACAATTTATCTACCTCAAATATTGATTATATTAAATTTGCAAATTGTAATTGCAAACAAAAATTATTAAACTTAAATAATAGTCATTAATTAAAAGTAATAATTATATTTTTATTATATTATATATATTTATTATATTATATAACATATATTTTTTATGTTTTCTTTAAAAAATTATTTAAGAAACTATGCTTTGTCATTATATATTTATTTCATATAATAAGAAATTATTTATTCAATTTTATTTTACCAAAGAAAGTACAATAAAACTAGACATTAAGTGCCATAATTTATTAATCATATAATTAATTTTATTATATGAATGAGTACAAAATATTTTATAAAAATTATTTTTTTATACTTATATGATTATATTACTAAAATATATCAAGTAGGTGAATTTTACCAAACTTAAAAATGAAAAACATATATTAATTCTATATTAATATGATAATTTCAAATAAATTGAAATTTTTAATTAAACTATTGACAGTACAAATATATTTCTTAAATGCAATTAATGCCAATAGAAACTGAAGTTAAAATTAAGTTATTAAGAACCAATGTAGTATTAAATCTTAATAATATATATTTAGAATAAAATTTATGTATAAATATATTGTGGTATATTTAAACAATTATACATTATGAAAATATTTAAAATGAAAAGAAAAGTTCCTATGATATATAAATGATCTTTGCTCAGATATACATATATAAATGAATTTATTATATGTAAAAAAAACAATGATTATGTCTTGTTCCTAAAAATTAATTAATGATATGATCTTAATGATAACAATACATTGACTAAAAAGTACAAGTTATATGTATATGATCAGAAAATTTCTATGTGTCAGTTTTTTAATACAAATGAATATGGATCAAACAAATGTTTTTATAAATAATTAAAGTTTTTTAAACTTTTATGATATTTAATGAAAACCAACTTCATATCAAATAACTTTGTATAATTATGTTTTTTAATAAAAATATTGATATAATTCATAATAGTATACAATAAATTAACTAATAAACATAATTGGTAGAAGTATACAAATATAATTGTACAAGTTTAAAAATTCTAAATTTGTAATAGCTTAAATAATTGTGTGTCATAATTTTCATTAATTGTAATATTAACATAAATAAAGATCTTTGTGTATTAAATTGCAGATAAATCCTATATTTCCTTCGAAATAATAATTACTATATTTTCTAAAAATTTTCAAATATAATTTCGTGTTACAGATTAAATGAAGAATATGTTCTGTACTTTGGATACTTTCGATACAGAGTTTTCCGCGGATTCAGTTGAATGGTGTCCAATAAATTTTTTCAAAGATATATTTGTTTGTGGAACATATCAATTAATAAAAGATGAAAATTTAATATCCAATACTTCAATATTATCAAAACGTTTAGGAAGAATTTATTTATGTCAAGTTGTACAAAATGGAAATTTAAAATTACTGCAAAAATTAGAAGTACCTGCCATATTGGATATGAAATGGGCACATGTTATATGTCAAAAGAAAATTTTACTCGGTATTTCAAATTCTTTAGGATACCTTCAAATTTATGAACTTAAAAATAATGACAAAAAAAAAACTTAGAATTAATAATTCAAAAAAGAGTCTCAGATGAAGATGAAGTACTTGCATTATCCTTAGATTGGTGTACTGGAAAATTAACAAATAATAATGATTTTAGTACAAAAATCGTAGTTAGTGATTCAAAAGGTTTTATATCGTTATTCGAAATAAATGAAAACGAACTTAATAAAATTAATTCGTGGTCTGCACATGAATTTGAAGCGTGGATTACAGCTTTCGATTATTGGAACATAAACGTGATATATAGTGGTATAAAAATAATTGAAATTGAAATTTATTAAGATAATAGAGTATGTTATAATAATAATTACATTTAAGGTGGCGATGATTGTAAATTTCAACGTATTGACACGAGAATAAACAAAGTTACCCTGTTAAATAAAGTTCATGGTGCTGGTGTTACAAGCATTCATAGTAATGCAACGAGCGAATTTTTATTAGCATCTGGAAGGTATTGTATTAAAACAGTAACATAAATTCAACAATGAAATCAACTTCTAATAAAATTTTTATAATATTTTTAGTTATGATGAAATATTAAGATTATGGGATACAAGAAACTTTAAACAACCTATATCAAATGTCAAACTCAATGGTGGTATTTGGCGTTTAAAATGGGATTGCTTTGAACGGAAATATTTGTTTGCAGCTTGCATGTATGGCGGATTTAAAATAATCGATTGCAAAAATACAGCAACTTTATCTATTATTAGTGAATATACTGAACATAAAAGTATAGCATATGGATGTGATTGGTCTTTCTTAAATAGCGAAGAAATATCAGAACAAATATTTAAAAGGAAAATTGAAAATGTATTTCTGACGAGCACGTGTTCTTTTTATGATCACATTTTAAAAATATCGGCATTATATTTAAATCATAAATAAAAAGTTTAATAAAAGAAAATAAATATTATATGAAATAGGTAATTTTTATTCCAATATGTTCTTTTTTTATTTATTTTGTTACTCATATTTTTATTACATTATTTGTTAAAGATAAAACTCAAATTTGAAAAAAAATCAAGCATGCGCAGAAAAAATATAAGATCTTGGCGTCGCTATTCGATGGACGTGAAATGGTTATGAAAGTTGCTGGAAGATGGCAATGTAGCAGCACGAGCTGCATTTCGCCGCGGCCAGTTCGATAAAAATCAGTCGTTCGTAGGGGCTGTTTTGGCGTAGTGTCAGTGCTGTGATTTCTGTTACAAGTTCATATATAATTTGGTGATAAATTATAAGTGATTAGTTTCGGTAAGTAAATTTTAATTTTATTCAAAATTTAATTTATTTGCTCAACATTGCTGCATCCCTTGGTATTATGGATTTTTCTTTATTCGAACAAATCAGCTGTGGAACCATGCATATCCTATTCCTATAGAATGACCTAGAAAAGATTTGGCGGGTATCGTAAAATTTTTAGGTTTTATTTTTTACAAATTTTATCTCGCGACAAATATTAAAAATGATTTCTAAATAAAGGTTAGAATATATCGTTTGACGTGATATTCATGCAGAGAGTGAAAGAGCAAAGCAACGGTTCGATTCCGTAGTCGTTAGGCAAACCACTTTAGGAAAATTTATTCGAGTTTCGAGATTACTGGTCCATCAATTCATTAACAAACTCATCTAAGATGGTGATCATCTAATGACTATTTTAAAGTGTTTTTTATTCATAAAAATTTGATGTGTATTAATACATCACAATATAATAATTATTTAAATCAATTTTATATTTAAATATCTTTTATCCATACAATGATTTTAAAATACAATTCATTTGTAAAAATTATTTAAATTAATAATAAATTAATTTTATATTTATAATATTTTGAAAAAGCAAATGAGAATTAAAAAATTACAAAAAACTATTATTCATAATGCCGTATAATTCATCATGCAGTTTCATACTTATTTTGGGTGGGGTAAATTCATGAATTGAATCAATCATTAATAAATTAACAATTATCTCCATATGTCTCATTTATGCATAATTAAAGTTTATTTAATGAAATTAAACTGCTATTTTTTTCTTCTTTGAAAACATCTTTCAAACATGAGGTTCATTTGACAGCTATGCTTCTTGGATGCTTATTTAATAGTATATTAATCATTTTCTGCAAGTTTTGATCATTAATTTAGATGTATCCACCATTCTTTGTAATTATTTATAATTCTTTAAATCTTTATAATTTTTTTAATTATTTATAATTCACTTTCAGTGAATAATTCTATAGTATAAATTATTTTCACATTAGAGATCAAGATTAATATCTAATATTATTTTTCTTTTATTATTTCATTCTTTCAAAATATTTCGAAATTTTAATAATTTCGCAATTATTTATAATTATTTTTAATATAAAGATTTGTTTAGTAAATTATATATAGGAACGCTGAATATGTGATGATAACCATTAATCATGCGAATTGCAGAATGTCTCAATGTTTTTTGTGATTGGTCCAATCCAATTAAATGCGTTTGAATTAACCGCGTAAAAAGGATGGTGCAGCAGGATTATTAAATTATTATTATTTTTTTTTTTTTGCTGTCAATTATTAGTGTATTTGCAGGTTATGAGATCAAGGACAAGTAAGATAGAGACATCGATCAGAAACATACATAATACATAGGATGGTTAAAGCTTTATCACTCTTTCTGTCTGAAAAAAGGGCGTTGTCTTTCTGAATTTTTTTTTATAACTTACTTTTAATATTTTTTTTTGTTCGAAAAAGAAAAACTTTTGACTCTTTTATATGCCCGAAATAATAATATGTGCGTATTCACCATATACGTACATATATCTATATAGATAGATGCGTGCGTGTGTATGCGTGTGGAATACTGTTTAATCGATCTCATGTTGTGCCAACGTTATCACGTAAAAACGAAATGGTGTCGTCGAGAAACAAAAGAGAAACAAAAAAGTATATAATATGTAAAAGAATTACTATTCAGTTTTGAATAGTAATTTGCTTTTCTATCATTTTAAATGAAATATTTCGAGAATTATGAAATGATAAATTTTTTTCACTTAGAAAACTTTTTTTAATTAATATGTTTGGAAAACATCTCTATATTATCTAATTTCTAATCTATTCTTGTTTCTTGATATTCACAGGTTAAGTTTCTTATATTTTTCTCGATTAAATCATATTATGATACTTGTGATACTATGATTCTTCTTTTCCATTTCTTATACTTTAATAAGTATATCGATAGAGGGAAGATATTGAAGATACATGATAGGAGATTTTTCATCTAAAAGAATTCTTCTGTATGCATATCTCATTAAGATAGAAATTTTTTGATCTATTAACGTTTTCTTAATTAATGAACCATCAAATAAATGTTTAGAAAAGCTCGCGTTAATTCAAAAATTATTAGGAAAATTTAAATCTTCAGATATTTATATCTTATTTTCATAATTATCTATAGCTAGCATTAAAAACTTTGTAAATTATTTAAAAGATTAATAATAAGTGATTAAAGCACACAAAATTTTATTATTAAAAAAATAAGTTACAAAATAGAAATTACGAATTTAATATCAATTTTCAAAAGATTCATATTTAGAATTAATTTTACTTATTTATCGTGTCCTTAAGGTTTTTCAAATATAAATAATAATATACAAGACAAAAATCATCAATTTCGCATTAAAATCTAACATAAATATCAAATCATCATGGAATTTATTATCAACAAGGATAAATTGAAACTTGCTAGGTTTATTATTAATAACGAATCAGAAACTCGCAAAATTTATCGCTGACACACGATCTCTCCCACGTTATGAATTAAATTTCCCGCTTATGGAGAAATATCGTAAAAATATTTTTATTTCGTCTCTTTTATACAAGTTTGATTAGTGAATCAAAAATGTGTTGATATATTATTTTTCGGTTTCGATCGTTCAAAACATAAATAGAGTAAGTAAATAAATTTATGAGTATTTGTACAACCGTGGCTGAAGATTGCACGAACTGAATCGTCCGTTGGAATTGCGTGTTCGATGCATCCTGCTCTGCATCCTTCACGCGTCACGGCGATTCGTTTTTTCGCTCTCTGCGTCGTTGCATTCTTGTTGGATGATCCGTCGGTTTACCATGTGTGTGCGCGTCGACGAACACACGTGTGAACTTCGGAACGATTCGTTTCCGACATTGCCTCCTGGAGTTTCTGCGACATTCAGACTTTTCTTCATTTAAGATATAGTAATAATGTATAATAACTATTATATTGATAATTATTTTTATGAGTAATTATTTTTGTTCCAGCTCTAAATATTATTAACGGTACATGTATTCCATTTTAATATATTAATATTTTATTTTAATATTTTAATATTATTATTTTAATAAGTAATTAATTGATAAAGCTAATGTCTTTTTATCAGTAGTTAACTCTGATCTATTAATTCTTTATTATATTATTTTGTCATTAATTATTATTTCTTTTAATTACCTAGATCTGCTTAATCTTTATACTATGATCATGATACAAAACTTATCTTTTATTCAATTTTTTCATCATTAAGGAAATCAGAATTTCAAATTATTCTGTGATTTCACTTTTCTTTATTTTTCCACCTGTGCGATTCAGATCAGCCACGTTCATCCCCTGAAAACGTCTTAAAAGTTTGCGAAAGAAACGCGAGGAAAAATGATAGGGGTTCGCAATAAATGTTCCGAATCTAGGTCGAAGTCGCATATTGTCGCCAAGATAGTTCAGTGATTCCATTACGCAATTTTCACTCAAGACACTAGCAGAAAATTCTAAGAATGATTTATTTAAAAACGTGTCTCGAACTAGGTCGTTGGTCTTCGTCGGAAGAAAATGAAATCTCTAGACGATTTAAAACAGATTTACAACTAGAAGTTTACATTTTTTCTCTCTCTCTCTCTTTCTCTCTCAAGTTAAACTAATCGGATTATTCAGGGTATTCCACTGTCTTCCGGTTTTCATTCCACTTTTTAGTTATTAACGGTTATGCTACTTGAACGGAATATCTTTCTATCTTCTTATTCGTATCACGCAATTTTAAATGTTAAATTCGAGGAAATAAGATTTGATAATTATTCTCCATTATCTATAATTCTACGAATAAAAGCTTTCATTACTTATAATGATAATTTTTCTCCGATTAAATTCTTCATTCTTCTCGATTTTTTTTAATGGACATCCACTTCGCCTCGGGAAAATTTTTTCCGCAAAGACCAGGAACCCTGAAACGCGGACAGTGACTGTGCCAGGATGGAAAAACCGATATTTCCTCCTGCTTTTTTCCCTTCTCCATGCAGATCTCAACGGGATCGTCGATTGTCCCGAGAGCAAAAGCGACCACGTGGTATCCCGAAAAAAAAGAGAGAGAAAAAAAAGGCAAGTCAGAGAACTCGCGAAACGAAAGAGCTTTGCAGTCGTGAATGCTTTCACTTCATAATTGATCCATTCGTTTCTGGTTACGTCGATTTCTCCTATCTGCTGGCGAAACTCTTTTAAATTTTGCGAGGAAAAGTTATTAAAGAAATTTTCTTAATTTTTATTCGTATTCAGGATTTTTGGGTTTAGTGGAAGGACTCGTTCAAATTAAAATCGTTTTAATAAAATTTGATTTTCCTCTTTAAAGTTGGCGAGATGATGATTTATTTTACTTTTTCGAGGAGAACGTAATTTATTTTTCGTTTCTTTTATACGAGTTTTATATTGAGATAAGATTTCTAGGATAAAGGAATCGATAAGTCGAGATGCGAAAACTCTTTCTTGTTGGTTTTTATCGATATCCAGACGATACGGATTTGTCATGCAACTTCCAAATCTGTTTTTTATAATGGAATAGTAATATTTTTGCTAGAAAAATCAATATTATACATTTCAAACAATTGTGATTTATTTAATTTATAGTTTTTTTCTATAATATATATATATTTTTTTCATTGATTTCATTTTTTTCAAGTACTTTTTTTTTAAGCACTGCGATGCTTATGGAACGCTAGAATTTCATTATATTCTTCGAATGCACGAATTTTCAATAGAATTTTACACCACGATACGAAATAATTGCAGTCTCCTCTTCTCATCTTTTTATTCTCAATTCCGTAACTTTTGAATAGATAAAAAATAATTGGTATAGCAGTCAAAATATAGGATAAAAATGCGAGATATATTGAATTTTTTGGCACGATAGAAAAATAAAAGCAAATGAAACGAGAAATTAATTGTCCATTCGAGTTTTTTTAATAAAAGAAGAAAG